CAGTATCTGTCCACGAAGTAGGCTCGGACTCAATCTTGACATGAGGGATCTCCTGGTTGAAGGTTTGGGGTGTAGGGTTTAGGGTTTAGGGTTTAGGGTGTAGGGTGTAGGGTTTAGGGTGTAGGGTTTAGCATTTAGGGGTTTCCAGGTTGGACTGAGAAGCCCCTGTTCCCAAGATCTGAGGACTAAGCCTCAAACCGGCCAGCGAAAACCCTGAAATCCTGAAATCTCTCTCGCTGGCATTGACAAATCGGGCGCTTGGAATAAGTCTAAAGATTATTGAGAGGGCGCCATGCGAGAGCACTGTGTTTTGCATTGGCACGATCCCTTCATACACTTATACAAATACATATACACATGCAGATACAGAAACATGTACATCTACATAGACACATATACACACCTATGTACACATGTTCGCAACCACATACACATAAGCAGACGCATACACCTACACGTACAGGTACAGCTACATGTACATAGTACACATACAAAAACACAGACACATACACGTACACTTGCGCCATATACATGTACATATACGTGGGTATATCGGTATATCCATCTTTCTTGCTTGCTGCCATGCTATCTACCAAAGAAACTGCGCCAAATCCTCGTGGTAATCCCAACAGGGCATCGACGCATCCGCCAATCCGCGGCGGGCTACCAGGTGAACAGGCCTGGGATTAAATGCTTGAGGTGCATTTGAAGTTTGCAACATCTCAAAGTCTGCAGGGTCTGGGATCCACCTTTGTGAGCGCAGAAAATGTGTTTAAGGCTTTCTGTTGAAATTGAGTCATTGAGGGTTTTGGGCGTAAGATGCAGTATTTAGGCTGCTTAGGGTTGCAAACTCCAGGCCCCATTCAGTGGCCGAGGTGTGCAGCTGTGACGCTGGACCCTAGGCCCTGAATTCGTCCCACCATCTATCAATCATCTATCAACCGATAGATCTATCTACCTATCTCACCATCTACCTATCTTTTTCTTGTTGTTGCACCCCTGAACTCTCGAGCCCAAACCCTATACCTGGTGGCCAACATCAAGCTCCGCTACAAGATCCCGTACTGACTCACCCTAAACCTACTTGCTTACAACAAGTTCCTGAACAAAACCCCTAAAGCATAAACCCTAAACCTGCTTGCTGACATCACGTTTCTTAACCGTGCCTGCTTACATCCAGACCCGTAACAAACCCTAAACTCTAAAATCTAACCCTCAACCAGAGTAGTTCAAAGACGATTTTGCGAAACCGGCATACCCTGAACAGGAACAAACAACAAGCAAAAACAGAGCCTGGGTTTAGGGATCGACGAGCTTAGGGTTGCAGGGAGGTGAGAACCCGGCAGACTGGAAACATAGATGGGAAGACGCGGTTTAGGGCTTTGGGTTTGGGGTCACAGACGCTGCCTCAAATGGAGATGTGTAACAACCTCGGCAACACAAGACTGCGAAGAGTGGATCTACTTGCATGGCATCCTTGAAAGTAATGAAAGGGCCTTCATCTCTACTGGGACCGCCGTAAGGCGCCATAGCACCCCAAGGGGGGCAACACATCCTCATCATCATCATCAGCAGCAGCAGCATGGCATCATCACCATCATCTTCTGCAGCAGGAGCATGGCATCATCATCGTCATCATCATCATCAACTTATGCTCCGTCAATTTTGGGCGAGCTGCGGCCACATGCGTTTCGGAGACGGCTGGGTGTCACAATGCATGTCATCTCAACATGACGATTCAGCATTCTGGCGCTTCATTTATGGATGTTGGGGTGTACTCTGAGGGGAGACTATGAACTAAACTCAAACCCTGAGGATACACCATGTTACAACTTCAACCCCACATTTATTTTTCTGCTCAACCTGCTCATCGTCGACTCGGCTTCTTGAGTGGCCTTTGCCTTTTGCTTCGCCTTGGCTTTTGTTTTGGGCTTTGCTTTAGCTTTCGGCCAAAGTCCGGCCTTCGGCTTAGCTTTGGACTTTGCCGCTTTGACGCAAGCTGCCAAAGCCGGCGAGCGTTCGTCTTCTTCTGAAGATCTCCCCAGCTGCGTGGAGATGCGCCGGCTGTCCCCACCGGCGTTCGCATTTCCCCATGTCACAACCGATCCGTCAACGCAGATAGCAGCAAAAGCGCATCGAGTAGATTGAATACAGCTGACATTCTTGAGCTGGGCTTGCACAGCACTGGAGTCGCCTCCCATCGACTTCTCACCCCAAGTGACAACCGACCCGTCATCTCGAATAGCGGCAAATGCCCGGTCCGAGGCCTGTATTGCCTTGACGTTGCTCAGAAGGTGCTGAACATGCCTGCTGCTCCCTCCATTGCCTCCATGACCCCATGTCACGACCGATCCGTCACCGCAGATTGCAGCGAAGGCGTTGATGTTGGCTTGAATCTGCACTACATTCCGCAACTGATTCTGGACGGAAGGTTTCGGTTGGAAGCGCTTGTCACCGAAGGTCACCACTGTCCCGTCTTTTCGGAGAGCCGCAAAGAGGTCCCCAGCACAACATTGAACGTGTTCTACATCTTGCAACTCCTCCGCATTTCGTCTGTCGCGACGTCTGTCTTCTACTCCGCATTCCACATGCAGGCATCCTTCTCGGCTCACAGTGGCCCACGCATTCCTTGAGATTTGTCCGGCACAGTGTCGGAAGTCGTCACCGGTATGCGTCGTGGTTCGCGGACACAATTGCCAGGCTACGACGCTGTCGCTCTTCATGGCAAGGAACCCGCAATTAAAGCCCTGAATGGAGAGGACATCCTGACGAAAACTCGGGGGCGGAGGCTCGTATTCCTCAGTTATCAATTCCATCGCTCAAACTTACTCTTACATTCTTTTGCAAAAGTACAACACAAAACTCAACACTCAAAGATTGAGCTGCCAAGTATCGGCAGTGTCACCCCAGGTCACCACGCTTCCTGAGTCTACCATGATCAGCTGCTGTCTTCTTGGGCAAGCAGAGAAGGCAGAGCGAAGAGAAAGAGAAAGGGAGAGACAGCGAGAGAGAGACAGCCACAGAGAGACAGACAGAGAGAGACAGACAGAGAGAAACAGAGAGAGACAGAGACAGACAGAGAGAGACAGAGAGAGACGGAGACAGACAGAGAGAGAGAGAGAGACAGACAGAGAGACAGAGAGAGAGAGAGACACAGAGAGAGACAGAGAGAGACAGAGAGAGACAGAGAGAGACAGAGAGAGAGACAGACAGAGAGACAGACAGAGAGACAGTGAGAGCGAGAGCGAGCGCGAGAGAGGAGAACGAGAGCCAGAGAGAGCGCGAGAGCG